GGGTTTTTTCCGGGGGGGTTTCCACTTTTTTTTTTTTTTAAACAAAAAGGGGGGGTAATTTTTTTCCCCCCAAGGCAAACAGGGGGGGGGGCGGGGGGGGGGGGTTTTTTTCAAAATTGGGCCCCCGGAAAAAAAAAACCCCCTTCCCCCCCCAGGAAGGGTTTAAAAATTTTTTTTTTTGGGGCTTTTTAAAATTTTCCCCCCCCCCCCCCTTTTTGGGGGGGGCGGGTTTCCCCTTTTTTCTTTTCCCTGGATTGAACCCCCCCCCCCCGGTAATTTTTAAACCCCCCCCCCCTTTTTGGCCCCCCCCCCCCCCCCCCCCCCGTTCCCGTGCCCCCCAGTCGGATGCGTTCCAGGACGACTTGTTCCCGCCGTGCTTCTCCGGGCAGGCCTCTCACACCGCGGAGGAGTGGGTCAAGGGGTCGGAGAAGGCGCCCATGAAGATGGACATGAGGCCACGAAACCTGGGGGTCTCGCTGGACCCTGTGGCGGCGGCGGCGGCGGCGGCCAAGAAGAAGAAGGCTTTCGCCCCGCTCAAGAGCTCCAAGGACATGCAGAAGGACGTGAGTGAGCAAATATACAGCCCCTGGGGAACGCGGGTTATCCTAGAATTATGTTTTTAGGAAATATACATTAAACTCACAGAAAGACGACCCTTTCGAGGAACAATATAACCGCCGCAGTCCAATGGGATGTGCTGAGTACAGATACCATACTTGTTTTACCGGAAGACGGAAGCGCCTCTTATTTGTTCCTAATTGCGTTTTTTTGTCTTTGTTTTTGCTTGATGGTTGTGGTGCTGTTGTTTTACGCTTGTATATTTTGTTTCCCCTGTGAAGGACATGGGAAAAAATGTTGAGTTGAGAAAAATACCATGCCAAGAGGTGAGATGCTACCCCGGCCCTTTCCCCTCCGTCAAGAAAGCGGCTTTTTTTTCATGAATGCAATACTGTAGTGTGACCCGACTGGTTCTCGTGTAGAGGCCTGGTACCCAACGGTGTCTGACGTGATCATGTACATCAGTAGGTTGGAGGACCAGGAGACGCGCTATTATAGCAGCGTCTGCTCTCCTCTCCTGTATATTTTTCTCATTGTCCTTCGATACCGTTGGTGTCGGTGTTTTTGGCCTATCGCGGGAGATAGGCTGGAGCGGCGAAACTGGGAGGGAGGAGGCTTGTGCAGGGAGGCTACCCATCACGAACCGAATGCAAAATGCAATTGCTTTCCCTTGCATGCGGAAAAGGGGGTGCGGCTAGACATCACAGACGTCATGTAAGCCATCGTTTCCCTCAGCCCACTCATTTCCTCGTCCTCTATCCGCCCCCCCATCCCATCCTCAGCTCGACGCCGCAATGGCGCGCGTAGCTCTTCTGGAGAAGGTGATCAAAGACGCTGGTCTTCGTGTGCCCTAAGCGGGGAGGGAGCTCTGGCTCTAGGTGCGGTTCAACAAGAGTATACGGAGGGCACGACGGATGAAGGATTGGGGGGGGGGGGGGGGGGGGGGGGGGGGGGGGTGGTCCCAAAGGGGAAAAAACAACCCCCCTTTTTCCCCCCCCCCCCTTTT